TTTTTTTTTTTTTTTTTTTTTAAGAAAGACAGGGTGTTCTTTCGCCCAGGCTGGAGTGCAGTGGTGCGATCATAGCTAACTGTAGCCTCCAACTCCTGGGCTCAAGCAATCCTCCAGCCTCAGACTCCCGAGTAGCTGGGACTATAGCCATGTGCCAGCATGCCTGACGAATTTTCTGTAGAGACAGGGTCTTCCTATGTTTCCCAGGCTGGTCTCAAACTCCTGGGCTCAAGGGATCCTCCCTCCTTGGCCTCCCAAAGTGCTGGGATTCCAGGCGTGAGCTACCACGCCTGGCCCTCCAACATTCTTGCTTCCTTCATAGTTCCCCAAAGGCCACCCAACAAGGTCCCCAGCCACCTCCCCTCCTAGCACAGAAGGTCTTCTGGGCCTCTGGCTGAACTCGAGCTGAGCTGAGAAGCCACTGCTTGGAAATAAGGAGGGAAAGAGAAGCCAGGAGGCCCCCCCCTCCCAAGTCTGACTCCAGGCAGCTGGGACTCCGTGCTGCCTGGGGGTCTGGGACAGCTCAGGGGGGCTGTAAATTTGCTTCTGCTCGGATTTCCGATCCGAATCCGCTGCCAGGAGGAATCCGTGGAGCACGGCCTGCTTCCACGCCCGCCATCCTCCTGTCACAACTGGCCCTTTTCAAACCCTGCCTTAGTGGCTGCCTAGTCAGGAAGTGCATGGAAGCTTCTCACGCCCCAGGATCCCAGGGAGCTGGGTTGACCGGGGGATGGCTCAGTGCCCCCTCTAGGCTGGGCCCTTCTCTGAGCATGTACTGGAGGGACCACATAATGCAATCCACACATGGGTGGTGACCACAGAAAAGGGACATGCTGGATGCTTGGTAGACACAAAATTGCATCAGAACTTCCACACGCAGCCCTTCGCTCTCTTCAATGGCCAGGGCACCTGCACTACATGACTCCAGATGCTACCATTCCCATCAGAGTCTCTATGGACACCCCTGGGAGTTGTGCAGTGCTCAAATTTGATGGCTGTCCATGGCAGCCCTGCCAGTGAGATGCCTAAGACATGTACATAAAAGACAGCAGTGCCAGGGAAGGAGACGATTTCCTGCTGGGAGTTCAGGAAAGGCTTCATGGAGGAGGCGATGCACAGATTTGGGCTTTAAAGAAAAGGGGGAGATGATGTGGGAGAGTAATCCAGGAGGAGCCAAGGGCACGAAGGCACAAACCATCTCCTGTGGTGGAGGGAGTGGGAGTGAGCAAAGCGGGAGAACAGGCTGGAATGTGAAGTGAATGGTGGACCTTGGAGGGTCTCAGTTCTGAGGCAACAGGAAGCCGTGGCAGGTTCCTTTTCAGGGAATTGGCACAAATGAGGCTGACGCTCTGCAGTGGTCCTGGGCCTGGGGGTCAGCATCATGTTAGAAGAGCAGGCAGATGGCGAGGGTGGGGGGCACTGGGCAGAGGGATGGTGGGCATTGGACGGGGAGCCCCACGGAGCTTCTTGTTTTCTTCCTGTTCCTCAAGGACAGATGAATGGACCCTGCATTGCACAGTATCCAAGAGGCTCTGGGCTCCAAACCAGCCTCTCCCCTCTTAGCAGAATTACTATGGCTTCAAGCCGGGTGCGGTGGCACAAGCCTGCAATCCCGGCACTTTGGGAGGCCGAGGTGGGCAGATCACTTGAGGTTAGGAGTTCGAGACCAGCCTGGCCAACATGGCGAAACCCCGTCTCTACTGAAAATACAAAAATTACCGGGCGTGGTGTCACATGCCTGTGATCCCAGCTACTCCGGAGGCTGAGGCAGGAGAATCACTTGAACCCGGGAGGTGGAGGTTGCAGTGAGCTGAGATCGTGGCACCACTACACTCGAACCTGGGCAATAAAGTGAGACTCCATCTCAAAAAGAGAATTACTATGGCTTCGGATTGGGTATGGGATGGACCAAGATCCTGTCCTCCCTCCCAAGCTGCAAATCACAGCTCTCTCTCCAAAAGCCCCAGGGGACAAGTCAGTCACCACTCCTATCCAGCAGGCTCCAGCATTTAGAGGCTGGTGCCCCTGGCCCATCTCCTGCTCCTCCTCTACTGCAGACAAGGATGTAGGGACCCCTGAGAAGCTGTGTGAGGGGACGGGCAGGTCCCACAGCCCAAAAGGCTCCTCCTTCTCTAGCTGCATCCACCCCACCCATCTGTCTCCGGCCCCCTCTCTATGGTTAGGTCAGGGCATTGACGCAGGAGTCAGGGTCCTGGGAGAGCAGAGGCTGGGGAAGGGGAGCAGCCAAGATAGAACGCACGTGCAGCCATGTGTGGACGTGAGTGTGCATGTGCACGTCCCAGGACTCTGGAATGGAGCAGAACCAGTTGCCAAGTGGGGCTGGGGGAGCCTGGACAGCAGGTTTGGGAAGGTTCAAGGTGAGCAGAGGATGCAGGGGAGCAGGGTCTGAGGGAATCAGGCCAGCCAGAAGCATACCAGCCTCTGTGTCCTGACCCCCACCCATCCATCTTGCCAAACCACTCATTTTTTTTTTAAGACAGGGTCTCTTTCTGTTGCTCAGTCTAGAGTGCAGTGGTGTGATCATAGCTCACTGCAGCCTCGACCTCCTGGGCTCAAGAGATCCTCTGACTTCAGCCTCCTGAGTAGCTGAGACTACAGATGTGCACCACTATGCCCAGCTAATTAAAAAAAAAAAAAAAAATTATAGACACGGGATTTCACTACGTTGCCCAGGCTGGTCTCAAACTCCTGACCTCAAGCAATCCTCCTGCCTCAGCCTCCCAAAATGTTGGGATTACAGGTGTGAGCCACCACACTTGGCCCAAACCCCCCTCCCATCAAGCTCTTCACCTCACCACACCCTCATGGTCCCTCACCCCCAACAGGTCTTTTTTCAAGTCACTTTCTCAGCCTGGTGTCTCTGACTACCTTATTTTAGATACCCCTGCCCGTGCCTTTTCTCCTTAGTTCTTCCGGCTGTTTGAAATCCTCTATCTTTTCTTTTCTTCCTTTCTTTTTTTTCTTTTTTTTTCTTTTGAGACAGGGTCTCACTCTGTTGCCCAGGCTGGAGGGCAGTGGCAAAACCACAGCTCGCTGAAGCCTCAACTTCCTGGGCTCAAGTGATCCTCCCACCTCAGCCTCCCAAGTAGATAGGACTATAGGCACATGCCACCAAGCCCAGCTAATTTTTGTATTTTTTTTTTTGCAAAGATGGGGTTTCGCCATGTTGCCCAGGCTGGTCAAGTGATCCTCCTGTCTTGGGCTCCCAAAGTGCTGGGATTACAGGTATGAGTCACTTCCCCCAGGCGAAATCTTCTATCTTGTACTCATTTTTGTATTCATCATCGGCAACCCTACTAGAATGTCAGCTCCACCAGGGCAGGCATTCCTGGTTGTATCATTCACTGCTCTATCCCCAGGTCCTTGGCCACGGGTAGGTGGGAAATACATAAACATCTTTTGAATGAATGAGTGAATGTTTCCCACTCTTTCCAAACAAAATCCAAATTCTTCAGAGAGGCATTCAAGGTCATAGACATCCTGACTCCTCCCTAAGCAGCACGCTGACCTCATCTTCCACCTCTCTCTCCTCCGCCCTCCCTTCTGCACACCTGACTCTCCATTCGCTTTGCTGAATCGACAATCCCCCACCCACCTCATACCTCTTCCCATAGATGCCCTAACCCCCTTCGAGGCTGAGGTCATTGTCATCTCCTCCCTCAAATCTTCCTTGATTTCTCCCAGCTAGCGGTGAGTTCTCCCTCTTCCAAACTCTTACAGCTCAGATCTGCACATTCCAGTCTTTTTTTGTTTTTGAGACAGGGTCTCACTCTGTCGCCCAGGCTGCAGGGCAGTGGTGTGATCATGGCTCATTGCAGCCTCGATCTCCTGGGCTCAGGTGATCCTCCTGCCTTAGCCTCCTGCATATTTGGGACTACAGGCGTGAGCCACCACACCTGGCTAACTTTCTTTTTTCTTTTTTTAGAGACGCGGTCTTGCTGTGTTGTCCAGGCTGGTCTCGAACTCCTGGGCTCAAAGGATTTTCCTGCCTTGGTCTCCCAATGTGCTGGGATTACAGGTGTGAGCTGCGTCGCCTGGCACTTTCCTGTCTTTTTTTTTTTTTTTTTTTTTTTTTTTTTGAGACAGAGTCTTGTTCTGTCGCCCAGGCTGGAGTGCAGTGGCACAATATCGGCTCACTGCAACCTCCGCCTCCTGGGTTCACACCATTCTCCTGCTTCAGTCTCCCGAGTAGCTGGGACTATAGGCGCTTGCCACTACGCCCGGCTAATTTTTTGTATTCTTTAGTAGAGAGAGGGTTTCACTGTGTTAGCCAGGATGGTCTCGATCTGCTGACCTCGTGATCCACCCGCCTCAGCCTCCCAAAGTACTGGAATTACAGGCATGAGCCACCGCACCTGGCCACTTTCCTATCTTTTATGAAACCTATGTGGGGTAGGCTGGTAGTTTCACCACACCCATTTGACAGATGAGGACATTGAGGGCTCAAGGACGAGGCCACTTTCTAAGGTGTGAGAGGTCAGTTAGTCTTGGTCTCCTGCTCTGGGAATCTCACCCATCTGGCTCAGGCTTTCAGAAGCCATAAAACCTTAGCTGTAAATCCCAGCCCCCATCACTCTTGGTGTTAGCTGTATTTCAGCATTCTTAAGAACTCGGCCATGCAGCCTAGCTAACCTACACCACAGGTCAAATAAACAGATGTCAAGGTGCATGTGTGGCCTGCACAATGGACTGTGTGCTCTGTGCACTAAAAGTTAAGTGTCTGGGGTGGGGGCTGGGTGCGGTGGCTCACGCCTGTAATCCCAGCACTTTGAGAGGCCGAAGAGGGCTGATCACCTGAGATCAGGAGTTCAAGACCAGCATGGGCAACATGGCAAAACCCCATCTCTACTAAAAATACAAAACATAGCCAGGTGTAAAGGTGCGCCTGTAGTCCCAGCTACCCCGGAGGCTGAGGCAGGAGAATTGTTTGAATCCAGGAGGTGGAAGTTGTAGTGAGTGGAGATGGCACCACTGCACTGCCTGGGCAACAGAGGGAGGCTACGCCTCAAGAAAAAACAAAAAACAAACAAAAAAAAACTTAAGTGTCTGGGTTTGCAGAGTCCTAGACAGTGAGGAGTGGGGTAGGGAGGAAGAACCCCAAATTTCTTGCCCTATTTGCCCCCATCAAATTCCTCAACATGGTTAACATTGTTTTTAGAACATGTCCTGGGATTGTGGGAAGGGAGACCACCCATTTGCCCGTCCCTGAAGCTTCTGGGCTTCCAGACCCAGGTACTTCGCGGGAACCCAGCAACCCAGGCATCTCTGAGTCTCCGCCCAAGACCGGGTTGCCCCCCAGGGGAGGTGTCCAAGAGCCCAGCCTTTCCCAGATAGCACGCTGCGCCCGTCCCGAGGGTGCGCACCCGGCTGCACTCCCCTCCCGGGACCCAGGGCCCAGGAGCAGCCCCCATGACCAGCACGCGCGTCTGCAGCAGCCCCGCTCACGCCCCAGCGAGCCTCAACCCAGGCGTCCTGCCCCCTGCTCTGACCCCGGGTGGCCCCTACCCTTGGCGACCCCTCACGCACACAGCCTCTCCCCCACCCCCACCCGCGCACGCACACATGCAGATAACAGCCCCGACCCCCGGCCGGAGCCGCAGAGTCCCTGGGCCACCCCGGTCGCTCGCTGCGTGCGTCCCGGAGCCGGACCGGGGCCACCGCGCCCGCTCTGCTCCGATCCCGCGCCCCCTGGACAGCCGCCCTCTCCTCCAGGCCCGTGGGGCTGGCCCTGCCCCGCTGAGCTTCCCGGGATGAGGACTCCCGGTGTGGTCACCGGGCGCGCCCTAGGTCGCTGAGGGACCCCGGCCAGGCGCGGAGATGGGGGTGCACGGTGAGTACTCGCGGGCTGGGCGCTCCCGCCCACCCGGGTCCCTGTTTGAGCGGGGATTTAGCGCCCGGGCTATTGGCCGGGAGGTGGCCGGGTTCAAGGACCGGCGACTTGTCAAGGACCCCGGAAGGGGGAGGGGGTGGGGCAGCCTCCACGTGCCAGCGGGGACTTGGGGGAGTCCTTGGGGATGGCAAAAACCTGACCTGTGACGGGAACACAATTTGGGGGTGGAGGGGAAGAAGGTTTGGGGGTTCTGCTGTGCCAGTGGAGAGCAAGCTGATAAGCTGATAACCTGGGCGCTGGAGCCACCATATATCTGCCAGAGGGAAAGCCTCTGTCACACCAGGATTGAAGTTTGGCCGGAGAAGTGGATGCTGGTAGCTGGGGGTGGGGTGTGCACAGGGCAGCAGGATTGAATGAAGGCCAGGGAGGCAGCACCTGAGTGCTTGCAGGGTTGGAGACAGTAAGGACGAGCTGGGGCAGAGGCGTGGGGATGAAGGAAGCTGTCCTCCCACAGCCACCCTTCTCCTTCCTCCCCGCCTGACTCTCAGCCTGACTCTGTCTTCTAGAATGTCCTGCCTGGCTGTGGCTTCTCCTGTCCCTGCTGTGGCTCCCTCTGGGCCTCCCAGTCCCGGGCGCCCCACCACGCCTCATCTGTGACAGCCGAGTCCTGGAGAGGTACCTCTTGGAGGCCAAGGAGGCCGAGAATGTCACGGTGAGACCCCTTCCCCAGCACTTTCCACAGAACTCACACTCAGGGCTTCAGGGAACTCCTCCCAGATCCAGGAACCTGGCACTTGGTTTGGGGTGGAGGTGGGAAGCTAGGTACTGCCCCCCTACATAAGAACAAGTCTGGTGGCCCCAAACCATACCTGGAAACTAGGCAAAGAGCAAAGCCAGCGGGTCCTGTGGCCTGTGGGCCAGGGTTAGAGCCCTCAGGGACCCTTAAGTCCCCGGTCTGTGTGCATTTCAGACGGGCTGTTCCGAAAGCTGCAGCTTGAATGAGAATATCACCGTCCCAGACACCAAAGTTAACTTCTATGCCTGGAAGAGGATGGAGGTGAGTTCCTTTTTTTTTTTTTTTTTTTTTTTCGTTTCCTTTCTTTTGGAGAATCTCATTTTGCGAGCCTGATAAGATGGAAGGGAGAATGATCGAGGGAAAGGTAAAATGGAGCAGCAGAGATGAGGCTGCGTGGGCGCAGAGTCTCACATCTGTAATCCCAGGGTTTTGAGAGGCCGAGATGGGAGAATTGCTTGAGCCCTGGAGTTTCAGACTGACCTGGGCAGCATAGTGAGATCCCCCATGTCTACAAACATTTAAAAAAATTAGTCAGGAGAGGTGGTGCATGGTGGTAATCCCAGATACTTGGGAGGCTGAAGCGGGAGGATCACTTGAGCCCAGGAATTTGAGGCTGCAGGGAGCTGTGATCACACCACTTCACTACAGCCTCAGTGACAGAGTGAGGCCCTGTCTCAAAAAAGAAAAGAAAAAAGAAAAGTAATGAGGGCTGTATGGAATACGTTCATTCATTCATTCATTCATTTATTTAAGTCTTATTGCATACTTTCTGTTTGCTCAGCTTGGCGCTTGGGGCTGCTGAGGGGCAGGAGGGAGAAGGGGGCGTGGGTCAGCTGACTCCCAGAGTCCACTCCCTGTAGGTCGGGCAGCAGGCTGTAGAAGTCTGGCAGGGCCTGGCCCTGCTCTCGGAAGCTGTCCTGCGGGGCCAGGCCGTGTTGGCCAACTCTTCCCAGCCTTTCGAGCCCCTGCAGCTGCACGTGGATAAAGCCATCAGTGGCCTTCGCAGCATCACCACTCTGCTTCGGGCGCTGGGAGCCCAGGTGAGTAGGAGCAGACACTTCTGCTTGCCCTTTCTGTAAGAAGGGGAGAAGGGTCTTGCTAAGGAGTACAGGAACTGTCCGTATTCCTTCCCGTTCTGTGGTACTGCAGTGACCTCCTGTTTTCTCCTTGGCCGCAGGAAGCCATCTCCCTTCCAGATGCGGCCTCGGCTGCTCCACTCCGAACAATCACTGCTGACACTTTCTGCAAACTCTTCCGAGTCTACTCCAATTTCCTCCGGGGAAAGCTGAAGCTGTACACGGGGGAGGCCTGCAGGAGAGGGGACAGATGACCAGGTGCGTCCAGCTGGGCACATCCACCACCTCCCTCACCAACATTGCCTGTGCCACACCCTCCCTCACCACTCCCGAACCCCATCAAGGGGCTCTCAGCTAAGCGCCAGCCTGTCCCATGGACACTCCAGTGCCAGCAATGACATCTCAGGGGCCAGAGGAACTGTCCAGAGCACAACTCTGAGATCTAAGGATGTCGCAGGGCCAACTTGAGGGCCCAGAGCAGGAAGCATTCAGAGAGCAGCTTTAAACTCAGGAGCAGAGCCATGCTGGGAAAACGCCTGAGCTCACTTGGCACCCTGCAAAATTTGATGCCAGGACACGCTTTGGAGGCAATTTACCTGTTTTTGTACCTACCATCAGGGACAGGATGACCTGGAGAACTTAGGTGGCAAGCTGTGACTTCTCCAGGTCTCACGGGCACTCCCTTGGTGGCAAGAGCTTCCTTGACACTGAGAGAATGTTTTGCAATCTGCAGCAGGAAAAATTACAGACAGGTTTTGGAGGTTGGAGGGTACTTGACAGGTGTGTGGGGAAGCAGGGCGGTAGGGGTGGAGCTGGGATTCGAGTGGGAACTGTGAAGACAGGATGGGGGCTGGCCTCTGGTTCTCGTGGGGTCCAAGCTTTGTGTATTCTTCAATCTCACTGGCAAGAACTGAAACCACAGATATGACTCTTGGCTTTTCTGTTTTCTGGGAACCTCCAAGTCCCCTGGCTCTGTCCCACTCCTGGCAGCAGTGCAGCAGGTCCAGGTCCGGGAAACGAGGGGTGGAGGGGGCTGGGCCCTACGTGCTGTCTCACACAGCCTGTCTGACCTCTTGACCCTACCGGGCCTGAGGCCACAAGCTCTGCCTACGCTGGTCAATAAGGTGGCTCCATTCAAGGCCTCACTGCAGTGAGGCAGCTGCCAACCCTGCCCAGCGCAAGCCTGCGGTGCACTGAGATTGTGATCAAGGAGAGGGAGCCCAGAGGACGGGTCCCTTTGGGGGTTTTGGAGGCTGGTAACAGCTGCCAACCCTGGTCACTGGCCCTTGTTAATTTCTGCCTCTTTGGTCTCTTCGGCTGATGCCACACTCCCAGCATCAGCCTTCCGCCTCAATGTACACCCCTGCTAAGTCCAGCTGCCCCCTTTACTCACTTGGAGACTGTCACCATGAATGCTGTCCTCTGAAATTCACAAAAGGGGCGGTACATACAGGTGCAGTTGGAGCCACCTCTATAGACAGCATCTGCTCAGGGACAAGGGTCACTCTAGGTGGTTCATTTATATATTTGTGATTTTGTTTGTTTTTAGAGACAGTGTCTTGCTCTGTTGCCCAGGCTGGAGTACAGTGGTGCAATCATGGGTCACTGCAGCCTCAAACTCCTGGGCTCAAGTGATCCTCCAGTCCCAGACTCCTGAGTAGATGTGACTAAAGGCATGCATCGCCATGCCCTGCTAATTTTTTAGTTATTTTAATTTTTTTTAGAGATGGAGTCTTGCTATGTTGCCCAGGCTGGTCTCAAACTCTGGGCTCAAGTGATCCTCCCTCCTCAGCCTCCCAAAGTGCTGGGATTACAGGTGTGAGCCATTGCGCCTGGTTTATTCCTTCTACCTAATCTCTACCTGCTCCCTCACTCCCCTGAGGTGGGGGACATGGAACAAATGAACTCTTCGTTCCACTCTTGATTTCTACTTCTCATTTTTCCCTTTACTCTGACCAAAACTTCAGATTCCTTCTCAGAAATAATACTTCAGTGGGAAAGGACCACCTAGGAGGGACCTGTGCAGACAGCAAAAACTGTCATAAAACTGTATGGGAGGCCAGGTACGGTGGCTCATGCCTGTAATCCCAGCATTTTGGGAGGCTGAGGCGGGTGGATCACCTGAGGTCAGGTGTTCGAGACCAGCCTGGCCAACGTGGTGAAACCCCATGTCTACTAAAAATACAAAAAATTAGCCGGGTGTGGTGGTGGCACCTGTAATCCCAGCTACTCTGGAGACTGAGGCAAGAGAATCACTGAACCTGGGAGGCGGAGGTGGCAGTGAGCCGAGGTTGTGCCACAGAACTCCAGCCTGGGCGACAAGAGCGAAACTCCGTCTCAAAAACAAAACAAAACAAAAACAAACAAACAAACAAAAACAATTGTATGGGACCCTGATCCTGGTTGTTATTCCATATATGAGGGCCCGCCTTTTTGCTTGTATCATCATCTGTAGAGAAGTCAGCCTGTGTTCCCCTGCATATATGCAAACGGGAGAGAATGTTTTGCAATCTGCTGCAGGAAAAATTACGGACAGGTTTTGGAGGTTGGAGGGTACTTGACAGGTGTGTGGGGAGCAGGGCGGTAGGGGTGGAGCTGGAATGGGAGGAGTCTCTGAAGGGGAGGACCCAAGAGAATTTTCCCTCTGTTCTAACCTGCTCCTGGGCTACAGTGCCCTCTTCAGGTCTTACTGGGAACTGCTAGAGAATCCTTAGGACTGTGACCTTGTACATTTCTCTCTTTTTCTTTCCTTCCTTCCCTTCCTTCCTTCCTTCCTTCCTTCCTTCCTTCCTTCCTTCCTTCCTTCCTTCCTTCCTTCCTTCCTTCCTTCCTTCCTTCCTTCCTTCCTTCCTCTTTCTTTCCTCCCTTCCTTCCTTCTTTCCTTTTCTTTCTTTCTTTTTTCTTTTTTTTTTTTTGCAATAGAGTCTCACTCTGTCACCTAGGCTGGAGTGCAGAGGCGCGATCTCGGCTCACTGCAACCTCCGCCTCCCGGGTTCAGGCGATTTTCCTGCCTCAGCCTCCCGAGTAGCTGGGACTACAGGCGCCTGCCAATACACCTGGCTAATTTTTTGTATTTTTAGTAGAGATAGAATTTCACCATGTTGACCAGGCTGGTCTCAAACTCCTGAGCTCAGAGGATCTGCCCACCTAGGCCTCCCAAAGTGCTGGGTTTACAGGCGTGAGCCACCGTGCCCGGCCATGACCTTGTACATTTCAATACACATTTGTATTGTGGTTTCCACAGATGGCATTTGATTCTTGCACCACGAATGCTGTGAGTCAGTAAAGGAGAAATCTCCCTCTTAGGCTGCTGACATTGGAACTAAGAGGCTTGTTCTTAAGCCGAAGGAATCTGGCTAATAAGAGATTGAGCTAGAACCTGAGCACAGGATTTAGGACTCCTAACCCCAAAGGCTGTCCACCTCTTAGCCTGATTTGTAGTCTAAGGCTCAGACATCTCATCAATGAGTAACCTGCTTTTTCCCCCCTCCTCCCCCTCTGCAGGATACAGGGTCACTGATCTTATTCCACAACTCTCTTCAGACTTCTTACTGCTTTCAGTTTCTAAAATACAATAATAAAAAAATAGTAATTTTCAACCAGATGTTGCAGCTCATGCCTGTAATCCCAGCACTTTGGGAGACCAAGGTGGGAGGATCCCTTGAGCTCAGGAGTTTGAGACCATCCTGGGCAACATAGTGAGACCCCCATCTTTACAAAAAAATTTAAAAATTAGCGGGATGTGGTGGCATGCACCTGTAGTGCCAGCTACTTGGGAGGCTCAGGGCAAAACAGCACTTTGGGAGGCCGAGGTGGGCGGATCCTCTGAGCTCAGGAGTTTGAGACCAGCCTGGTCAACATGGTGAAACTCCATCTCTACTAAAAATACAAAACATTATCCAGGTGTGTTGGCAGGCACCTGTAGTCCCAGCTACTCGGGAGGCTGAGGCAGGAAAATTGCCTGAACCCGGGAGGCGGAAGTTGCAGTGAGCCGAGATCACGCCACTGCACTCCAGCCTGGGAGAATCACTCAAGCCTGGGAGGTTGAGGCTGCAGTGAGCTGTGATCACACCACTGCATTCCAGCCTGGGTGACAGAGCAAGATCCCATCCCCACCCCCACAAAAATGGTAGTTATCAAACCTGAACTGTCTGAACCCTCCTGGGATGGATGTGAGAGGCGAATACGTTAGAAACTTTTAAAACATTTATTCCAAGTTTATAAAATGGCTACTGTGAAGCAAGCCTTTGCACTAAGTGCTAGGATACATGAAACAACACTCATAGCCCAGTGTCCAGTGGGCAGCCTCCTGGGGGCAAAAAGACAGACACACATTAATTTATTTTATTTTATTTTATTTTATTTTATTTTATTTTATTTTATTTTATTTATTTTTTGAGACAGGGTCTTGCTGTATCACCCAGGCTGGAGGGCAGTGGTGTAATCTCGGCTCACTTCAACCTCCACCTCCTGGTTCAAGCATTTCTTGTACCTCAGCCTCCCAAGTAGCTGGGATTACAGGCACATGCCACCATACCTGGCTAATCTGTGCGTGTGTGGTTTTTTTTTTTTTTTTTTTTTGAGACGGAGTCTCGCTCTGTCGCCCAGCCTGGAGTGCAGTGGCCGGATCTCAGCTCACTGCAAGCTCCGCCTCCCGGGTTTGCGCCATTCTCCTGCCTCAGCCTCCCGAGTAGCTGGGACTACAGGCGGCCGCCACCTCGCCCGGCTAGTTTTTTGTATTTTTTAGTAGAGACGGGGTTTCACTGTGTTAGCCAGGATGGTCTCGATCTCCTGACCTCGTGATCCGCCCATCTTGGCCTCCCAAAGTGCTGGGATTACAGGCTTGAGCCACCGCGCCCGGCCTTTTTTTTTTTTTTTTTTTTTTTTGTGGTAGAGATGGGGTTTCTCCATGCTGACCAGGCTAGTCTCGAACTCCTGATCTCAAGTGATCCACCCACCTCAGTCTCCCAAAATGCTGGGATTACAGGCGTGAGTCACTGCACCTGGCCTTGATGCACATTAACTCAAACACAGTCATTTTGGTATGGGACTCAGTGCTAAGCTGTGCAATGCCAAGAGGCCGGGGAAGCAAAGAACCACAGGAGTTAAAAGAACTAAGTGAGGCCCAGAGTCCGTGCTGAGAGGCAGATTCCCAAGGAAGGTGTTGCCAGATTTCAGAGGTTCTTCGAGTGCAGGCCAGGAGAGGAACTTTCCTCTGAACTACGATTATGGTTGTAATTAACAACACATTCAATCGGTGGCATCTGCAGGCTGCAATTCTCACCCCAACTCCACGAAGCAGGAGTACAATGAGGATCATCTGCATTTGTCAGATGGGGAGCTAAGTTCTGCTGGAAAGTGACAGAGCCAGCTTTTTTGACTTTCCGATGGGGACAGGAGCCAGCAAAGCCCAGTTCTGAGTCAAGAGGTTACATAATTGTTTAAAGATGATGCCTTCCGTTTGTAGAGAGCTTGGCTATTTACATGAAAAGCATGTGATTTCCTGGCCTGCTTTTCATTTGCTCTCCTAACGCCAAGAGGAAGGCCGGGATGTTGGGGGGTCCTCATTTTGCATAGGAGGAAACTGAGGCCCAGAGAGATTATGGGCCTTGCCCGGGTCATAAAACACGGAGATGGGGCTGGACGAAGTGGCTCATACTGGTAATCCCAGCACTTTGGGAGACTGAGGTGGGAGGCTGGCTTGAGCACAAGAGTTCCAGACTGGCCCCAGAAACATAGGGAGACCCTGTCTCTAAAAAAATTTTAAAGTCATGGGGCATGATGGTGTGCACCTGTAGGCCCAGCAGAAGCAGGAGGGATCACTTGAACCCAGGGATTTGAGACTGCATTGAACTATGACTGCAGCACTGCACTCCAGCCTGGGTGGTAGAGCAAGATCCTGTCTCAAAGGAGAGAGAGAG